TCCTCCAGTTCGGCTCGCTTCAAGGATGGCCGTGACTTCGAAATTTGGCCGTCGCTTCGAAACGGATACACGCAGCTAGTAAAGGACCCAGCGAAGCAAACCCAGACACAGCTAAACAAGGTAACTGAATGCAGGAACAGCGCAACCTACAAGTAGTTACTTCGTAACTACGGAACGAAAAAAACAAGGACAGAACAGAGCGCTGACTTTTGCCGACTCCCTCACACGAATGTGCTGCGACCGTCATTTTGTATTGGTATGTTTTCTCCAATGCACGCGTGTCAATCTTATCGCACAGCGGACGCCTTATCGTTCTTGAATAAGGATTCTCTCGTACTCGAGTTTCGCTGACTTTCTCTACACACCTTAAGATAAAAGGAATGAAAACCTACGTGGTAATTTTAGGCCATTATCAGTGATAACGTCCCCCCCTCCACTTGCCTAAGTTTTGTGGAAAATTCATAATACCGTAGAAAACACGAACGCCAACACGCGCTCACAGAGCAGCTGGCATCTTGTAACTGCCTCGGATAACAGCGAGTGGAGCAGCGGCAACTCAGGCGATGGCTTCAAGCAACGTGAATTTTGACCCGGACAGCTTCGCGAAGTTCGACAGTCAGTCAAGTCAATCCGCGGATGAAGTCCTCAGAAGAATTCATTTCCAAGGTTCGCTCACCGAGAATCATCAAGTTCTGGAAGTAGGGTGCGGGACGGGACGCTTCGCTCGGCAATATTTGCTCACTCACTGCCGAATCTGCCGGAGGATAGTGGCCACGGACTGCGATCCGGACATGATCGACTTTGCGAAGAAACATTTTGCGCATGACGACATCGTGCACGACCTCCTAGACATCACCACACCCTGCTTGGATATGTTCCTGGAGAGATACGGAAAGTTCGACAGGATCTTCTCGTTCCTGGTGTTTCACATGATTAGGGACCAAAAGACAGCGTACGCGAACATTGCCAAGTTGCTTAACCCCGATGGCGAATGCCTGGTGGTCGCTATGTCGAGCCTTGATACAATGGACGTGTGGCTTGAGGTGTACAAAATGCCGAAGTGGAAAGGCCGTATTCCGGTAAGTTTACCGTCTGTCAGCTGTATTGAGGCAACAATAAAGGTAAATAGTTTATCTTTGTAGAATTTCAATGCCTGAGAGCCTGTAAAACATCGGTGATATGCACGGTTATCAAAAAGTTGCGATCAGTAGACGATGACAATTGGACGTGACTGTACCATATTGGTCTGTCGGTGGATCACTCCATCTAGTCGTAAATAACAGCGGAGTACGAGCTATATATTCTGCAAGAATAAGTTCCACAGCTGCCTTAATTTTTGCCGCCAGTAAAACAACCCCCTCTTCGTTATTTTTATCTGCGTCATGTCTATTCTGTTAGGCCCAAATGCTTCGAAAAATTCAGCCCGATAGCCTTAGAACGTAGGGTATAAAGCCCTTTGCAGAAAGGTAGCAGGCGTTCAGCAGTTTCCTCCTGCTGCCCGCACGCAGCGTATAGCGTCTATATCCCTATATAGACATGCATCGTGTCGCTGTAGACACATATTCATCTGTAGGCACACATGGGTAGGGCACCAGCTGCGTTACAGTTAGATATGGCGGTGTACAGTGACGTAGCAGCCCTCTGTGCAATTGATTCGTAGCTCTCAAACGACCCACGATGAAAAACAATCGCAGTTACTCACAATGCAGAATAAAATACAAATAGTGAATTTCAGCTGCGTTCATAAAGGAAATCGCATTATTTAAGGTTACCCTAAAAACTGGTATTCTTGCAGATGGGCACTTTGAACTGCGCGAACGGTATGTAACCTGTTAAAACGTCTTTCGCTTTAAAACGAAGAATTTCAGGAAATGTTTATCCAAAATCTAGATGGGAGCCGACAGATGGAAGAAACACGTAGTGGGATAGTCAGACTGAACAGTGGAAGTGCCTCAGACAGGCTGGCCGACGTTTCGATTGGAAGACCTATCTTCGTCAAAGGCGCCTTATCATCCTTGGCGTGTTAGTTTTGAGAGGGTTAATAGTGATGTCATCTTCTAGTGGTGACACGCGCCACCACCAGATGACGTCACTATTAACCCTCTTAAAACTAACACGCCAAGGATGACAAGGTGCCTAGGGACACGCACCACCACCAGAAGATGACGTCACTATGAACCCTCTTAAAACTAACACGCCAAGGATGACAAAGTGCCTTTGACCAAGGTAGGCCCTCCAATCGAAATGTCGGCCAGCCTGTCTGAGGCACTTCCACTGTTCAGCCTGACTATCTCTCTACGTGTTTTCATGTGTCAGCTCCCATCTAGATTTTGGATTAACGTTTTCTGCAATTCTTAGTTTTCAAACGAAACACGTTTTAGCAGGTTACTAACCGTTAGCGCAACTCAAGGTGCACACCTGCAAGAATACACGCCGGAGGCACTTCCACTGTTTAACCTGACTATTTCAAAAAATGTTCATACGAGACAAGTACTGCGAGGTTCCCAGAACACTTTCACCAGTCCATAGTCACTCAGTACATGCCTTTAGTGTCCTTTTAATAAAGTGGCGTGTTACAGTGCATTTTCTGTTTACTATTGCCTGCTTACCTGCATGAACGTAAGAACGTGAAAAATTTTAGAACATGATTGTCGCTGGCTCAAGGGCCAGGTATGTGAAGTGCTACGTTGATGGTATGAATGTATGCTTTTTTTTTGGTCCCTTCTCAATACGCAGCTTTTCCCGTTAGTCATGTGGTCCTTTCTTGATACCGGCAACTCAGTGGCGTTATGAAGAAATGATACACTAGAGTACTGTAATAGTATGTCAAGAAGATACCAAATATCGCTGTTCCACTTGTACAGAATTACATAAATACAGCAGCAACTCTCACTATTTGTAATGGACTTAATAATGAAATGGTTTTCAAGCGGATAAGCACCGTTCTTATAATTTACCACTATTATTTCCTCATAACTTGGTGGAATTATAAGGAACAATATTTTTTCATATGACCACTGGCAAGCCAGAGTAAGTCATTTGTAACGTCTCCGACCACAGGACCCGCGAAACGTTTTCAATGCTTCCGTCAACTTCAACTGGATCAAATCAGCGGCACAGGTTGAAGCCGAAGTCAGAGACACTTTACGTGGAACCGGTTTGCAGTGCATCTCCTGCGAAGTTGAAGATTCCTGCTGGAAGTTCGACTGCATGGACTCCCTTCTCGGTAAGCCACGAGAAAATCAAACTCACTGGTCTTTTATGCATTCGCCTAAGGTGACTCGAAGCTCAAGGCCATCTTCTCTTTGTTCTCTTCCAATGTATCGATCCTGCCACTCCACCCTTCGAAAACTTTAATTCTGGCCCCAACGTCGTTTTGCGCTGCATCTGAGATCGGAGGCACCTCCCCTTGTATGAGATTGCCTCTGTATCGTGCCACGTTTCAACAAGTTACGATGTCGTGTGTTGATGTCATCAGGAGATGTTACGCTACGTTAGATTATTATGACGTCACAAATTCTGGTGGTCTATGGCGTCATTACGCGCTTGTGATTTCTAGCATCACTCGTGCCCGGCGCTGCGGGATGATGCGGACCGTCAAATTTCATGTTTCATGAAACATTTGAGGCTTTCTTTCTTCATAAGAGGCCTCGTTTGAACGCAGTTTAGCCAAGATTGTCGAGCAATAGCCAATACTACACCGCGAAGTGTGCCGCGATCATGTCCCACACGTAGGCACCCCTGCTCGACAAGCAACGCAGAGTGGTCCACATTTTTTCTATGAACATCGCTTTTTGTATGAACACTTTTATGAACTCGACGCCATCTGGCCAGGCCCACTAGGGGATGGTCAGGTTAAACCTGACCACCCTCGCGCGCGCCCTCTGGGCGGCCAGAATTTAGAACACCTGCTTGCCACGCAGATCACTATGGTTCGATCGACACTCTAACCCAGAAATGTTTATTATTTGCAGAAAAGTGTTTTATGCCAGTGTCCACTAAGACTTCAGGGACGTACTTCTGTCTCAGAAATGACGTTTTTAAGCAATGGCACCAAATGAGAAAGTAAAAAAACAATCTAGAAAGAAATTTCCTCGCTGGGCGTCGAACCTCTGTCTTCTAGTGATTCTGTGAACAGCACCCGGTGAACTACCGCTTGAGCTAATGTTTTTTTTTTCTTATTACAGTTGTGCTATTCAGGCAATTGATGTTCTCTGTACGAACGCACCTTATATCTTTCACTTATTTTATCGCTCTGTGCTCTCGGTTGGCGAAGCGGTGCGATGCCACCGTCTGTGAGAGCTCAAGAGAAGTACTGTGGCATGATGCACTTAAAGCATGGCTTTCGAGATTGGAAGCTGGTGCGCAGTCTTTGAGGCTATGGTTGAACCTCTCGATAGCAACGTAAAACCCAGACCGAGCGAGCGTTGGAGTCGCCGACTCAGTTGTGTTCTTTGCCTTCCGCTTCACGTTCGTACGTGACAGCTCGTTGTTCAAGTCGTGCAGCTTCCACACGCACAAACTATGTTTCACGGCTGACGACTGCGAGTGTGATGTCACCGGCTTACATTTCATGAAATATGAAATTGCTTCAGTGAGCACTGCAGCCAGGCAACGATGTCGATGGGTGAATGTCGTGCCTTGGTGGACCGAAACGGAGGCCAGCAGGACGTGCGAGGCCGAGTGCATTCGGTGCTCGAGCTACGCACCTTTGCGTTTCGCGTTGTTGAAGTGCAGTATGCGTGAGCGCAGGTGCAGGTTTCAGGTGCGCACGCCTGCACGTCGTGCTCTTTCTGTCCATAACTTACGCTTTTTAAAGACGTGCATATCCGTGTTTATTGTGTGTTTGTTGAAGCCATCTCTGTTGGAGATCAACGTTATGCTGTGCTCCGGTATATGTTAGAAGCGTATACCAAAATGGTTAAATGACGTTCGTCGGTGGTAGTAGTCGCAAGGGAAACGTACCACTAGGCGTCGAAGAGGATGTGTCTACGTCAAGTGACGCCATAGCCATGAAACGCAAATATAAATTGTACAAGCTTTCGTATATCACTAAACGATAAGCAACACTTCTATGAAGACACACATATCAATTCTTGTGACGAAGGCATCACTACACGATAAGTACTACTTCTATGAAGCCACTTTCGTGTTATACCAATTCCTATGACGGAGGAATCACTACATGATAAGCACTACTTCTATGAAGACACCTTCGTGTTATACCAATTCCTATGACGGAGAAATCACTACACGATAAGCACTACTTCGATGAAGAGACACTTTCGTGTTATACCAATCATATGACGAAGGAATCAGCCAAGTTTTTTTTTATTTTACTTGCATCTTTCTTCATTTTCGGTTATGCACAAAATGATGATTTGTCGCTCCCAACCAACGGCACTGGTGCCGGAAGTTTTTCGAAATGAACTCTTAGCGCTATCACGTTATAACCTGAGCTGCCGATGTGCCTGACATGCCCCTGTGAGCGAGCTGCTGATTTACTCTGTTTTTCGTTTAGCGCAAATATAACACAAAACAGCATTCGCTGCACCTTCGCGAAGGGCTAAACCAGAGCCTATAAACAATGAGATAAAGACCCTCTCACGACTCAGCTAAGTTAAGGAAAGCCCTCGTGGTAAGACTCCATATCTAAATTTTTATTTACGCCGGGCTGGTATGGCAGCTTCCCCGAACTGTTGTTTTTTGTGGAGTGCTTGAGACTGCAGATTATGATCTTCTTTCATGTAAACGCCAGTTCAAAATTACTTCTGGTGCCATCTTTCGACTCCTTCGACAAGATTCAAATCCACCGAATGTACTTTCTTCCGGCTGTTTGCCCTTTGAATTCGTCCAACGGGAAAATTGCCAGTACCTTGCAGGAGTTTCTTGGTGGCTCAAGAATATTTCTTCTGGCGAATCAATGTTGACCCATCATTTCCTGCGCTTTCAGATTGACTTTATTGATATGTGGGGTTTAACGTCTCAACACCATCATATGATTATGAGAGACGCCGTAGTGTCTCCGGAAATTTCGACCACCTGGGATTCTTTAACGTGCACCAAAATCTGTGCACACGGGCCTACAGCATTTCCGCCTCCACTGGAAATGCAGCCGCCACAGCCGGGTTTCGATCCCGCGACCTGCGGGTCAGCAGCCGAGTACCTTAGCCGCTAGATCACCGCGGCCGGCTTCCTGCGTTTTCAGATCGTGTTGTTTGTTAGTTTGAATTGTCCGCTTGGTTTGATGTATGCGCACTTTCGTATTTATCAGTTTGAATGTTTTAGTTTTTGTTTGTTTGTGTGTTTTTTTTAATTTCAATGTACAAAATCTAATGTATAATTTTAGAATTGTTCAAACTACCCGTTCTTGGCCCATCTCCCTGCCCGGGCTTCAGTCACGGATGCAAGGTTCTACAATATGCTACTATACCATTTTGCCGAGCTAAAACAGCAGCAGCAACAACAAAGTTATCTCGGAGCTGCCCCCTCCACTTGGAAAGTACAAAAAAGCGACGTCTGCGTTACTCTCCTTACTGACGTCTATAGATGAGGAAAGCCATGCAAAAGCGAGCGAAAACCTGACTTCGTATATGTGTTGTAGTAAATCAAACTTATGCGAGTGTTTAATATATGGTGATCAAAGCGGGACATATATTGATAATCAAATAAGTAACAGATAATAAGGGTATATTCGACGTTCGTATAACGTCCAGGGTAAATGCCCATAGAACTTTTGCTCTCACTTTTGTAGGACTGTATGCTATTGTTTTTTATATTTTTTTTATTTGTACCAATCAAGAGGAGGGGGTTAGCCGTCGCCAAGCAACGGTGACAAAAACTCCTTCGTTTATTTTCTATTTGAATAAAAAAAATAGTCACGCTATATAGTTTTCGCCCTCAGACATACTATACGAATGCGTCAGAATATTGTCGGCGTATTGCTCTTCACTCACTGCTACTCTTTCTTCTCTTTTACAGGCATCCTCCTAACGATTTTTCCATTCAAGGCGTTCGTTCCTGCTGAGGAGTGGGGATGCTTCCGCGATTCATGGGAGGAACTGATGCACCAGAAGCTGTCCCCTACCCAAGGAGAGCCATTGGCATTGAAGTTCACATTTTACGTAGTGCACGGAAGGCTATCTACCGATTAGAGTGCAATAAATATCATAAAGTTCATTCTCATCCGGAGCAGTGCGGAAACTCTCGACGGTAATTGTCGATGCGTGGAACTGAAATATCCGCGACGTGGAACCTAATCATAGTATTTAGGCAGTGTTCGTGTATACTTGCAGCATGACACTCAAGCAACGTTTGTTCTTTCATTGTGTATTTTTGTGAAGAACAGTGCCACAAACCTGCTCATCTGTAGCGATAGGCATGAACCACGGATTTATTGAACCATTGAGTTTCACACATTATTTGCTAAAGCCTTTTCTTTCTAAAGAGAAGTAGGTTGGTGTGGTAGTTCAGCAACCATGAGAAATATAGGAAGTACATGGCATTGTCTAGACTTTGGGCTGGTGCCTGTGAATGTACTTGTGGCTTTGTTTACGTGTGTATGCCTTTTGTCTACTGTTTTAAATAAAATAAAGGCTCGTTGTTAACCAAGCGATTTTATTTTTGTAATGTTCAGCCCGAAAGGGTAAATATGATGAAGTTGGACTGCTGAACTGTTGGAACTGAGCTTCGTATTGCGACACTACGGCTTTGGGCCACACGCCGCCACACAGAGCACAAAGTACGAAGCTTTGGCAAATGCACATTGAAAACAATAAACTACGCCTACAAACAGGACCCAAGAAGACGTGAACGGGGCTGTTGGCATATTTCTTTTTGTATCCTGCATGTAGGCGCATTTTTTATGCTTTCCACGTCTTAACAACTACCCCACCCCCTCTTCGCTTCTTGAGTTAAAATGTCCGTATTACACGTCATTCCCAAGCTGGCTGAATCACCCCACATTGCGGCTCCTTTAGCCACTAACGCCAAATTCATCTGTAGTGTATTACTTTGAAACTGTGTGTATTAGTGTGCGTTCGTACTCGAACACGTCCATAAAAGAGCATCAGCTTCAGCAACAACCCTATGAATCATAAACTTAGACAAACATCACAGCAAGGGTAATCCTCGGATAACGCGTACCTGTAATCGTACGATTTTTAACAAACGTGCCGCAATAACATTTACCTGTTGTCATTATCTAGGGCACATTATGCGACACTAGAAGACATCAGTCGCAGTTTATTGAAAAAAAGTCAAAATTAAGTATCTTTAACATCCTTCTACTCCATTCATTCTTGGCCACTGCTAACTAGCCGTTTATGATATCAGCTATATTTGGACGACGCTAGACATCACTGGTGAATCTGAACCAACACCCTCTGACATCAAAGCCGACATTTGCCATAAATAGCCATTGTTATACCCTTTCCAAGCCGACATTAGCCAATGATAGCCATCACTGTAGCCTTCACAAGCCAACATTTAGTAAGCACTTGTGATAGCCACTAATTATGTGGCAGTGAGGTAGCTTAATTCACACAGAAGGGTTATAGGCAGCGCAATGTTGTCTCACTATGCCCCTTTTTGCGTACACAGTGAAGGTATCTAACATGGCCACATGTGTCCATTCCATTCTACAGCAACAGATATACAGGGCACCCCAGTTGTCAAGCAGCACGATTAAAAAAAAGAGGAACTGCGCTACTGCGAAGCAAACCTATAGTGCATGCCATTCCCAGAATACTGAAGTACCCACTACTGATTTTTTTCGCCAATGACTATAAAACAATCAAACTAATTATACTGGTAGCTTAAAATTACTCACATAATTATCAAAAGTTCAATGAGTCAGATGTACGCAGGTTGAAATGGCATCTGTCTGTGATACGTGCAACAACGAATCAACTGTGGGCTCAGTTTTTTTTTTTCTGTGAATAAAGAAAGCCGCAAAAGAAAGCAGCGCCCTCAGTTATGTTTTCTGGAATCCACCTCTTTGCCTCTTTTCTGTTGCCAGACACAGCGTTTTGCCCTTTAGCAAGAGTACAAGTCGGGAGCCAACAATAATGCGCCATAGTTTCGCGGGGATTTATTCCGCTTGACCAGTACGTCGCTATCACCATTCATATCTCATGGTCAACTGTTCTCATTGATAACGCAACCGTGTCATCGTTCTGCTTAGAGCAATCACAGCCTGACTGTGTAAGATTAAGGCGGCGCGTCTCTTCGGGCTGAAAATGGCAGATAGCACGATCCGTATTTTTCTTTTTCTTTCTACATTTACTTCATTGCTATTGGCTATCTCAAAGTGAGCTTGTTTGAGAGCACTTCTTTCTGATGCGCGCAGTGGTATAGTCACGTGTTATTTTTCGTATTTCACGGGCTTTCTTTATTGACCGGAAAAAAACGAGCACGCAATAAGTACGTTGTTGAAAGTAGCACATAGAGATGTCATTTCAACATGCGCACATCTGCCTCTTTCACACTTTGATAATTAGGAGAGCACTTTTTGGGTTACAAATATGGTCGTGACTAATTAGTTAATTATCATTAACAAAAAATAGTAGTGGCTACCGCAGTTTACTGGAAACAATATGCGTGAGCTTCGCTTCGCGTAACGCCATTGCTCTTTTTTTTTTAATTGCGCTGTGGATAATTGGGTTGGCCTGTATACGGTGCCATGATGGCCCACAAAATCACGTCAATAGTCCACAATAGTGCAACACTCTAGACAATACAACGGGACACTCGAAAACAACAGCCTGCATTAGGAAGAGGCGGGCTTGCGCATAAAACAAGCATCTCCGAGAGAAGCTTTCCTTAGAGGGAAGCTTACGTTGTAGCAACCTTGCTATTTGTGACAAGGTTCAACAAGTGATGAAATTTCATCCGAGGTTGTCATTCATCAAGGTAGCCAGCGAGGTAGTCATTCTCCCAGACAGTTCGAGAATGGACTCATTAAAAAAGTCATGGTTGATTGTTCTGCCATAGGAATCGGTGTAACGCAAAAGTAAAAGGGGTCCTTATCGAAGTAGTTTAATGTTCATTGTACACTGATTCAAGAGAGCTTGTGCCATGTCTGTTAATGTTTGTAGCACAGTTAACATGCCCCCCCCCCCCATTTTTTCGCCATGACATACAAAAAGAAAAATTACCATTTAAAGGAGGTACCCACCTACCCCCTCAAAAATATGTCTGCCTGCGCCCTTACTTAGAGTATCTAATTTGCCTTAACAAGACCTCGCTAAGAATGAAGGGAAGAAGGGGAATTTTAAGGGCTCGTTTTTTTTATTAACAAATAAAAACAAGCCTCAAAAATTTCTTTTTTTTGATTTCATAGCCTACTTAGCCATTCATGTTCAAATTTTCTAACACCACGATCCTTGACTGGTCATCAATGTAAAGTTATTAGGGAGTGTTTGAATAGGAGCCCCAAAGCACTTTGCATGTGCTCACTTTGAGCCAAGTACGAGCTAAAAGTTATCAAATGGGGTCTGTAGTGCTTTGAACGCCCCCCCCCCCCCCTTCACAGAGCCATCACATCACTAGGAGCTAGCACGTTTGCCTGAAGCAAACATTTCGGGGCGGGCTTTGCTGCTCCTGTTGAATTCGAGAAAAAGCGTCCCCAACGCTACACCCATATCCTGTTTACGTCTCGCGCAACGCAGCATCCTCAACGCTATTTCCTTGGGGCCCCAAAACGATTGGGGCCCCGATTCGAAAATACTCCAATCTCTAAACAATGCAAGGTGGCCATGTACTATCTTGCTGCACAATGCTATCGCACATTGCCCCTCTTAGCCTCAGCAATAGCATCTTTGGGTCACACAGGTTCGCGTTCCACACTCTGGCTACGGTAAGATATGATATGACGAGAAACGTGATCATGTCAAGTCCACGTATACCAATTAAGGATACAATAACGAACACTCAAAGACGCAACTGCCTACGTTTAGACACAGTGTATGAGCCCACAAAACGAGTATCGCTGTCCTACGGTTCTCTTGAAAAGCCCGCACGAGGTGCACCGGTGTTGAAGTGCGTCCCAAAGTTCAGCCAACTATGAAGTTTAACCGTGACGATTACGCGAGCTTCAATCATTACTTCAGTCAGTTCGAGGACGAACTGCTGAAGAAAATACGCTTCCGCCGTCCACTGACCGAAAATCAGCAGGTTCTCGAAGTAGGGTCTGGTACGGGACACTTTGCAAGCCTGTTTCTGACACACCATTGCGAACCGTGTAAGAGGATAGTTGCCACAGACTTCGATCCCGTCATGATGGACTTCGCGAGAAACATTTTTCGCACAAGCAGATCGTCTACGACACGCTCGATATCACCAGTCACAGCGTGAGTGATTTCCTAGGGAAGTACGGCAAGTTCGACAGGATCTTCTCTTTCCTGCTGTTCCACTTGGTGGAGGACCAGAAGACAGCCTACGCGAACGTCGCCAAATTGCTTAACGACGACGGGGAATGCCTGGTGCTTGCTTTCTCCAGCTTCGATTTCGCGGACGTGTGGGAGGAAGTCTGCAAGACGCCGAAATGGACAAACCGTTTACCGGTAAGTTGACCATTCGACACCCTATTAAGCCCCGGTGGTAGAACGCCTGCTGAAACCTTCATTACTTGACGCTATGTCGTGACCCATGTTCGAACCCATGAAATAATTACTGGTGTAGTAGAGCAGCAAAACTGTAAAGCAGTATTTACGTCTAGGCCAGCTTGACCATCGTGATAGGACATCATTTTCGTGCTGAATAGGCGGTTCTCGCTGTGCGTTCTGCCGTGATGTTACACACCTTTTTCTTCATAGACCGAATGACACAATGCATTCGCGTTGACATACCATAATGTCTTGGTGAGTCGACTTACTTGATTCTGACATCTGAATCGGTGCACCGACTGCAGTAGGCCACTTAACAGTACCACACGGTAATAAAATAACGAACGAGTAAAGCAGGCGCGAGCGTTAAACAAAAATGTTGCGGTGTGAAATGGAATGCATGAAACAAGTTAAAAAAAGAGAGAGACATAGAAAGAAACTGAGAGAGCAAAAGAACGCAATAGAAAAGAGACAAATAGATTATTCGAGAGAAATAAAGGGAATACAGATATCAAAAGACTGAAACACAAAGATAAACAAAGAAAGAAATACAATGAATGATACTCGACAACGAGATTTAAGAACAGAAAGCAAGATATAACAAGAAAGAAACAAAGAAAGGAAGAGATAGACTTCCTGGAACAGGCAGTGATAATTAGGGAGAGAGAAAAAGTATAGGAAGAAAGAGAAAGTCAGAAAGGAAGTGCCAAGAAGGAGAAAGAAATATGCATTGCGAGAAAAAAACAAAAATAAACATATTCCAAAAATTAATACGAGAAACAGATGAAACTAGAAAAAGAGCGAAAAACAAAAAGCCACATTGAAGGAAACACACCTCCACTTCTTCCTCAGGCTTGGCAGCGCTAGTGCAAAGCCGCCTTTTCTTTTTATTTATTTAAATTGCACTCTTCGCGAAGGCGTACGTAATGCACCCAACTTGACTAAGAGTTGGTTGTTGTTTTGATGTGTACTTGCGTAACGAACAATCGTTGAATGGCGAATGTTCCTGACACGAACCTCGTACCAAGATATCCTAAAAAAGGGGAAATAGACAACCGCCCAATTATGTTGCGAAGCCACAATGAAATCCACGCGTATTTCTCAGAAAGAAAAGCTTCTTAATAGCCTAAAAATGTGTCATCTTCCGGGGTTCAAACCCGGAACCAACGCAATTTTAGGGTGGTTGTTTTACCATTTGAGCTGGCCAGGAAACTTGCAATTGGCCGGGCGAGGATGAATTCATCGACAGCTCTAAGCCCATGGACATAAGTAACGCATGGCCGGAGCGTCCCGCAGCGTCCCAAAGCACGTTCCGAAGAACCAAACAAAGTTCATCCATCCATCCATCCATCCATCCATCCATCCATCCATCCATCCATCCATCCATCCATCCATCCATTCATTCGAGATGGTGGGTGCGCGGCGTGTTTTCCGACGGGTGCCCGCGATCTCGGAGGCCATGAGTAACGCAATTTAGTTCTGTGAAGACCCGCAAGAGGGCGGAAAGGACCCGAGTAATTTGCGTTCGCGCCATCGCCAAGACACCTTCTTCTGCTCAAGAGACATGGGAGGGTTTCGTCATAATAATGACAATGTGGTCGCGTGCAACCATTATTTGGCATTGATATATCTGAAGCTAAATGTTATCGCACAACGTCATTTTTAGCGTCAACAAAAACATATTCCAGTTTTTTTTTCTTTCTAGAGCAACCAACAGATACGATATGTTGGCCGACGCGATTATGCTTATAGGGTCACAATCAGGCACAATTTTTGTTGCCAATACAATAGCTTCTCACCGACACAATTGCGTACATTAAAGTGATGCCCGTGCCCATATCAAACAAGCATTGCGGTCCTACATTTTTTCAGGACAAAAATAGAGTGAAGGCCCTCCACGTTGGAAGTAACTCCATCACATTCAACATCCAAAGAGAAACTTACCACTCTCTTAGTAGGTTGATGATTTTGCTAACACATTGATCCCAATGCGTCAGCTAATGTCAATTCGCGTTTCATTTCACATCCACCGGAGGAGTTGCAGATAGCCTAGCCATGACCCTCTAAATTGTTTTATTTTTGTTTAGTGGTTTTCATTCCTTCTTTCTTCCTTATTAACCAGCCTCTCTGTCTTGCTATTCCCTTTCTCTCTCTCTCTCTCTCTTTATCTATCTATCTATCTATCTATCTCTGGCTTACATGTAATGGTTTTGATTGAAAAATAGCGAATAATATTAGAATCCTCAAGGCTCTCACCGATTCTTGCCCCGTTGTAGTAATATCGCTTAAATATCAGCAACATATTTATTAAAGGGCATGGCATCTATCACAAAGGCCGCTTATCTCGGATTTCACTATCTTTGTTAAAACATGTCGGTCACTTAATTTTTATTTTGGCCAAATTTTTGTATAGTAGGTGGTAATTTTATTAGTGATACACACTCCAAAAGAGACAGTGACCAGATAACCGAAGGGCGATCACCAGCTTCCGTGCCTGATTTCGATATTATTTGCTAATATGTTCATCGCGATGATGTCACCGACATACTTGTGAGGTAGTATCCGACTTTATTTCCGACGGCTGATTGGTTAATATCGCCTTTTATCGCTTTCATTTCACGCAACTGCCAGAATTATTGCTTCCAGTTAAGCACTCGTAGATTCAGTTCGAGTACTCTGTGGCACGTCTCCTATTCTTAAAAAAACAGCGTCATTATTTGATTCCTGAACCTCATCTTTTCCTACAGAATCCACGGACTATTGTAAACTCCTTCTTCAACTTTCATCGCGTCAAGTCAACAGCACAGGTTGAAGCGGATGTCAGGGACGCATTGCTTGGAACCGGACTGCAGTGCATCTCCTGCGAAGTTCATCATCACTCCTGGAAGCACGAAAACATGGAATCTCTTCTTGGTGAGCCACGCTTCAAAAGCGATAAGGTTGCTAGATAGAATTGTTCTTAAATTGGGAAACCTGGGCAAATTTTCGGAAGAACATGGCTTGCAAATACCATGTGCTGCCGATATACCATCGTATTACAAGTAACGGCAGTGTCAGGAAATAAGAGGAATGGTCAAGTCCTGCTGCAAAAAGTAAAATCAGTGGCTCAAAGCATTAGCCACAGGGTTTTCCTCTTTACGATTATCGAGGTCTTAGACACTGTAATTTAATTCAAGAAGTGCTGTTTCTTGGGCGAGTTGGAAATTCATACTCGGAAGGGCAGCGCTAGCGCATCCGGATGAAAGGAAGACACACTAACACACAGACAGAAGCGCTCTAGCAACTGGTTTTCATTGAAAATCTGACTCATTTAAAGACGTCGAATTTTAAATGCGGAGCATTTTATAGTCACACCTACTCGCAGGTACGGTGGCGACGGTGTCGTCGATACCCCCACTGCGCATGCTCACGTTTCGAGCCAACTGATGCTCCTCTCTCTCTCGCTCTCACTCTCTCTCATTCTTTCTTTCTTTTTTTCTGTCTCTTATTCTTTTTTTCTGTCTCTTACTCTCTCTCTGTCTCTCGCCTCGCAAGGCCGACAAAGTGAGCGTCTGCTAGTAGAAACCGACTGCTCACGCTGCACAATCATTCACTGGCCACGCCGTATATGTAGGCACTGGGTCACGCGTTTGGAGTTCTATCAGGGCGTCTTTACTTGGCTTTCTCTTGACTTGGCGCTTTGCTTGACTCGAGTAGTTACGATGGAAGCAGTGGTAACTTCAGCCAGTAGTTGGGCACAACCCAGCATCAGCGTCCCACCACTCGTTGAAGGGAACGGTTCTTCTTCAATCAATGGGCAAGAATAAGAAGGATGAAATAACACACAAGAATGGAAACTTGGGCTAGTTGGTGCGTAGTCATATTTGCAAGATGTTTCAGCGCGCTAACAAAGGAAAAAGGACTTTCTGTCTACCCTGTCCTTTTTCCTTTGTTCGCGCGCTGAAACATCTTGCAAATATGAAATAACAATCAAGCCTTCTCAAAGCATACCCAATTACGCAACATTCACGCGATACTCCCCTCCCTCTGCAACGCAATTAATCGAATTCCCCCGCGTGAGAAGCTGCGGGCAGCTTCTCTTTTCTTTTGACCACGTGACAATTTCAGTGCAATGACGAGCTCGAGAACACCATTCAATAACACCATGGTGAATCTAAGAACACGCGTTCTCCGTTCTCTTTTCAGACATGCTCCTAGCGGTTGTTCCCTTCAAGGCCATCGTCCCCGCCGAGGAGTGGGCAGACTTCGTCGATCTGTGGACGCAACTGTTGCACCGGAAGTTGTGCCCAGAGCCGGGACAGCCACTGGCGTTGAAGTTTGCCGTCTACGTCGTTCACGGCTGCCGAGCTACCGCACAATAAATGAAATGAGTGCGTGGGGTACTCGTCATCGTTCGGTGCAAAAAGTAAAACCACTTGATACGGAGTGGCCAAAGCTCTAAAAGAGCTGAATACTGATCAAGGTGGAAATCCGCACTGACCACAAAAAGGCGCTCAAACTGAGGGACGAAAAAAAATATGCTTTCCTCGTCGTTCGTGTTTCGTGCCTTCCATTAACAGTGAAACATTTGTTTTCAAGCCAATACCTTGACCTAAGATAGGTTTAGTTGGCCCTTTGGTAAAGGCACAAATACATAGTAAGATATATATATATGTATATATATATATATTATATATATATATATATATATTATATATATATATATATATAGATATATATATATATATATATATATATTGTTGTGTGTGTGGTGTGTGTGTGCGTGTGGTGTGTGGTGTTGTGTGTGTGTGTGTGTGTGTCTTTCTTCGTAAGAGGAAGTCTGCATTTCATAATATGATTGATAAAGATGGTGATCATTGGCGGGCGCTTATGACCAACAACAATGAAAATAGCAAAGGCACTGACCTTCCAGCCGGCGTTTTAGGGGGAAAAGACGGCAAACAAAAGCTAATGTGGACATCCTCGTTAGTCAACTTGTTATGTAGTACGAGCATCATAGGCACACCCTTCGTCAAACAGATAAATTGACGCGTTGCGCATAAACCCTACTCCACTTGTTACGTGACACGTCTCTAACATATTTCCAACCATGCCTCTTCTTTTCTTGGATATATAAAACAACTACGGTCTTGCGAAAACGGCTCGGAAACGCAGTTTTGGCAGTAAGGTGACAGATTCGAACCCGGGTCGTTTAATATAGATTGATGTTATCCCCCTTAATGTCATTACACTGTTTAAAGCCTGATTGCGTGTTTTTGTCAGTCCACTTGCAAGTCTGCATGCGTCTGTCTGACTTATTTATTTTGTGCCATCATGCCGCGTGTTCCAATTGGACGCCAACGTAAAGGCAGCCTTTTTTAAATAAGTAATGCTCATTAAGAATATCTATAGGTGCAAATAATATTAAGTGCTAGTAGTGTAGAAGTGAAATCGGTGATTGGCTTCAGTCAGAAATTAGACACTCTTTACCGTCGGATGTAAATACAAAAAAATCTTGAAGGAAACAGTCTTCCATTTCTGTATCAATGAGTTGGGGCCATCATCCTACGACAACGTCGAACTGATGCTCACGATCCTTTGTTCAAGATGTTAGTCAGTATGAGGCAATGCGAAAGAGCAGGGCATTCTTTCGATTCTGCACTTTTCTGCTAGTACTCCTGCGCAGCGCGAATGGTCTAGATCAATGTAAAGTTACCCATTCATTATCACGTTTTCGGTACGTAGTACGATATGGGTTCAGAGCCCATTTCAGCTTTACATACAGCGTCTTAAGCCATATGAACATTGTGAATGAAGACGCAAATGATGAAAATTTTGCTCTTCGCACTGCTCTTAATATAATTGCTGCATTTACGTATTCTCTAAGAAAATTAAAGTGCATAGGTGAAACAGTCAATTATTTTCTTGATACTTTTGATAATTCAGAAGCCGATTAATCGTAGCTTTTTTTTGTTCCGTGGCATTCAAACTAATGAGCTTTTACTTCAAATAAATTAAACGCTTCAGTGACTGTTACTTAAGTCGCTGTTAGCCATTGGTAACCAATCATCCCGAAAATTCGCCTGATTTGGCTGATGCTTCAAGAAACTGATCATATTTAGAATACGCTATCGGAAACTCTAGGATTAGCCATGACTATACAATAATAGTCATCCCTAGCCAACTCATGCGTACATTTAGCCAACACTAACAATTAAAAACTAGGCACAAGACAATGTAATAGACGTGCGCCCAAAGGCATTACTTCGCATAAACATCTTATCTGCAACACAATATCTTATCTCACGTTGCCATTTTTTTTGCGTCCACAATAGGTTATCACGCACGACCACACGTCTCTATTCCTTCCTGCAGCTTAAAGTTATGGTGCTGTGGCGCGCAACGCAATTCTGCCAATACTGCACAGCCAATGCTTCACAATACAACTGAGCACTCGATAACACCGTCGAATACAGATAAAGAGTAAGAAGAAGAAGTCATAAAGGAGGGAAGACCGGGAGGTTAGCCAGTTTAGGTACAAAGTAAGCTACGCTAAACAACATTACCGGATCTTCCCTCCGGGAGGTTAGCCAGTTTAGGACAAAGTAAGCTACGCTAAACAACATTACCGGATCGTTATCTTCGACTGCCCGATTCTGAAGAGGTAATGGACCCCTTCATAATTCCAACCCGCTTGTGAGCACTGTGCATTCGTCCACTGATGGTGGCACCAGTTGTGTTTCAAGTGGAGAAAAGCCCTAGTTGCACGTACGTCTTTATGCCTTTATATCAACAGGACAGAGTCCACATCGTCGCGTCACACTGCGTGAAGCTTCGCCTGAAACACTGTTTTTCAGAAGGGACTAGCTGCCATTATTTAGCCTGGATGCATAGC